CTTTAAAAAAAGAATTTATTGACTTTTCAGGCCTGTTATAATATAAACAAATGGTCACAGTTTGTCATGTGACTCGCTAGGCTATTCCAGTGGCCTTTATAAACAAAGATACACAGTGAAGGATACATTATATAAACGTGTAGGGATACATCTGAGTGGAAGTTAGGAGATCTCAAATCTACTGAATGACTTGGGCGGTTAATAATTTTTTTAGTATTTTGGGAGTGTGAGTAGATGTCTAAGAAGGTGAAAGATCATACAATTAGAGCTCATAGAAATGAAAAGAAATTAAGAAGAAACAGTAAAGGTGAGAAATAAATGAATTATGGGATTGTAAGTTCCAGAGAGGAAAAATAGTCCAACAGCTGGTCAGCAGTCGGGAGACAGACCTACGCGCTCGTGGGTCCACGGGAGCGATTCATCTGCATGAGGAAACTGAAACGGAAAGAGCCCAGAGACCATGCAAGTGAATGGGAAATGGACCGCGCCAGATGGAGGCCTTTGTGCTTTTCCAAAGGACAAACAATGCTCGGAGGACTCTGAATTCACCTCCTAATTGTTGGCTCCGTGTTGTAATTTTAGCTCTACGGCAGTGACAGAGTAATTACACACGGGCTTCTGGCCTGTGTCAGAAAAGACAGCACACGCTCTTGTACCCATGTACTACACGGGCATCAAAGAACAGGCTGTCAGTTTCCCAACACCGTGGAAACTTTAGAAGGCTCGTCTCACAGCTGACACACCTCTGGCAAGCCTCTGACGGGTATTGCGGAGGGCCTTGGACGAGCTCGTGCGCGGCGGGAGCAGCTGCGCTGGGCAAACTTAAGACAGGTCTGCGGAGGCCTGGTGGTGGACGTGGGTGCCGGGCCGGCTTCCTGTCACCAGGCGGTCGCACTCTCCTGCCCTCTCCTGTGGTTCTCGTCGTCAGGTTGGACTTCTTCGCAGCACGGTGTCTCAGAGGAACGGCACTTGCTTTTTTTATTTTTTAAAAATTTTTACGCAGAAAAGCTGGTGCGCTGTGCCCTGTGGGTCACCCCGCTGGCTGGGGATCGAACTTGCGCTCCAGTGGTGATAGCCTGAGACTTAACCCCTAGGCCAGCAGGAAGGCCCCGTACCTGGACTTCTAACAGGACAGCCTGGGGCTGCTGGCACCGTCCAGAGGGAAACCCTGGTCCTCTC